CTCAAGAAGGATGAGGAACTCCTAGAAAGAGTCCAGAGGAGAGCAACAAGGATGATAAAGGGACTGGAGCATCTCCCCTATGAGGAAAGGCTGAGAGAGTTGGGCTTGTTCAGCCTGAAGAAGAGAAGACTGAGAGGGGACCTCATCAATACATACAAATATCTTAAGGGTTGAAGTCGTGAGGATGGAGCCAGACTCTCTGCAGTGGTGTCCAGTGACAGGACAAGGGGCAATGGGTACAACCTGAAACATAAGAGGTTTCAGTTGAATATGAGGAAAAACTTCTTTACTCTGAAGGTGATGGAGCACTGGAACAGGCTGCCCAGTGGGGTTGTGGAGTCTCCTTCTCTGGAGATCTTCAAAGCCTGCCTGGATGAAGTCCTGTGTAACATGCTCTAGGAGAACCTGCTTTAGCAAGGGGGTTGGATTAGATGATCTCCTGAGGTCCCTTCCAACCCTTGCCATTCTGATTCTGTGAAGTAGCAGCTCCTCGCTACACATTCAGGTGAGTTATAGTACTGTTCATCATCCTGGTGACAGAAAACAGGCTCTACCAAAGCTATAACCAAGAATGCTTGATTATACTGGCACATTCCTACTATGAATTAAGAATTAGGTACCCAATGCCTACATGCGAAGTATTTTTCTTTACTACTGATTGGAGAGATTAACAGTCCTATCTAACTGTCTAACTAACAATCAAGTCTTTACTGGAAGACACTGCTAGCCTGTGCTATTAGTTTTGAAAACAATCAAGGAATGGAATTTCCTACAACATACGTGTTTATTTACGTGGTGTATGCCTACAGATACCTGCAACTACAATGAACAGAAAGCCATTATTCTTATAGATCAAACTGAGGAGTATTCAGAATGTTATGGGATACAAAGTGATACTTGACATGAAAATACTTATACTATGTAAACATTCAAATATGAACAGGAAATTAAATCAAGTATTACATTGTGGTTTAATGCAGTTGTTTAAGCCAGCATTGCTGTCCAAAGAAGCAGTCTCCCTAATCCTCATCGATCTGCATAACCCTTGGCTACCCCCGCCCCCACCTTCTTCTAACACTAGGTAATTCACCAGAAAAGGGAACTTATTCAAGAGGAAAGAGACGTTAAAAAGTCTTAAATTTGTCATGAGACTAATGCTAGAAGACAGCTCAAGTCAGCTTCCAAAATTCTGGCCATGAATTTAAAAATACTTACTAATTAAGATGAAGATAACTATTTACAGTACTTCTAAATTTCTGTTATTGTGCCATGCTTAAACTGCTCAGCCTAGCACCTGTATGATGTAGCAAAAGCCAGTCCAGTAAGAATTAACTTATGTGCAAAGATGATGCAGAAATAGTTATGCAACAGAGTTTGAATAAAGCTCTGAAGAATTAATTTCCTAAACACGACCTTATGTTACCCATTATTTAGAATAAATTTTTACAAGTCAGTTGCCACTGCTCCATTTACATGGACATTTCATCAGCTTCAAAGCCTATCAGTTCCAAGTATTCAACATTCATTCAACTTTTAGCTCAGTTCTAGGAAGAAATAAATTCCAAAAGCTTTACTTGGTAACATCTTAAACAGAGATATTTTATTCAAAGCTTTTTCAGACGTTAGATTAATGCAGAAAGGACAGAAAAACTTCCCACATTGACAAAGTTACAATTGTTTTCCATACAAATGTAGACTAGATCCCTAAAAGACCTGGTTTGGTTCCTACAAATTGTAAACAAGCAAGACAATCCATATTAAAACAGCATTCTATTTGTTAAAAAAAAAAAAATCACATAGGAAAATTTAAGCTGGTTACACTATCTTAACAAACACAACTAACACGTTTAACATGAATCCCCCTCCAGAATACAAAATCTAAATGAAGGAAAAGAGTACCAAAATAAGGAGTTTTACTGCATCCTTCATCCTCTGAGTGCTTACATGACCAGCTGGGGTATGTTCTTTTTTGTGTGTTTTTTTTTGTTTTTATTTGGTTTTGTTGTGTTGTGTTTTTTTTTTTAAAAACGTTTCGTTTTTTTAAACAAAGGTGTTCTTTTCTATTAAAAAAAAAAGTTTTATAGCCTTGGTTGCACTGTAGGAAAAAAAGTCTCCAGTATAAAAGAGTTCATAGTATCTAAAATGCCTTCCCCTTCCCCAACAGCACCTAAATATAGAGAGGTCAACAGCAACTGGCTAGCCTAGAGTGGTATAATCTAAGAAAAAATTGATCCCCAAAACAGCGGAATATTTCTATTCCGGCAAAGTTTCAATAAAAAAAGACTGGCATATAAATCTAGGGTACAGGTTCATTTTTTAAACAGTACGTTGTTCAGAGTCAACAATTCACATCCTGCAAGAAAGTTACAGATACTTCTCTTACAAAACTTCCTTTTCAGTGGCAAAGGAAGTTAAGGCCATCAGACTCTCAGCTTAAAAACTCACATACAGAAAATACAAAAATATGTTGTGCTTCTGAGAAGGCTCTGTTCTGTAGGCAAGGATTACCGTGATCTGAGGAACCTGGCTGACTGGAAGTTTACATGATTGCACAGCTTCTGTTAGATGTTCTTGGGCCTGCCTGTTATGAATAGAAAGAGTAATCTTTGAAAAAAAATCCAGCAGTAAGAGATTTAGCAACTCACAATAACATACTGTACATTTTTAATAGATGAAATTATTAGCCTGCCATGGTCCAAGCAAGAGTCAATCATGCAAAGCTGTACAACCTGTTACCCTTACAAGTAAAAGAATGCTAGATATCTTTTTTTTTTTTTTATGAGACGTAATGGAGGACAGGTACCAGAAGCACACAACTTAAATAATTATTGTATTTGAATCTCAAGTCAAAAAGGGTAATTGAGTTCAGACAGGTGATGAATACTGCACGGAGCATATACAAGCACATTGAGAGTTTTTATCTAAAGAAATCTAATCTCTCTGTAACACTGTTGCAAGTGAAGCTACTTAGACACATACTTTAGCTGAACTACACAATCCCAGAAGCCACAAGAGCAGCTGGATGCACTTCAGGGTTTTTGCACAACTGCAATAAAACCCCAACTCTATAGTAAATGCCACAAAGTTTTAGGCCAAAACCCACTGTTGCCAAAAAATACGATTTCCAATGCAGCCAATTCTCTCCAATTTTTGTCTGTTTACATATGCACACTTAATTACTGTTCTATATTATCTTTTCTAACTGACTTTAAGATATATACTAACTCAAATATCACAAAGTTTTAGGCAACTTGAACATTGCATTACAGGAACTTATTCTTGTTACTTTTTTTTTTTTTTTTTACAGAAGAACAGGTCAAAACAGTATGGTAATTGATAAAACGCAGAATGTGAACAGTCAAGTATGCTGTATCTCAGTATTTTCTCTTGTATTTCAAAACATTTTATATCATCACTGCAAGTTCACACCTTTCCACTGCCTTTAGAGTTGCATTTCTTCAGCATGTGAGCGACATTTTCTCTGATCATGTCCTCAAATCTCTCATTTCCTCTATCAGAGAAAATGAGATATTTATATTCTTAAAACTTTAGGTAAATTTAGGTCTACCTGGTTAAGGCAAACTTTATCATAAACAAATGGCCTGGGGGAAATCTTGTCAGGAAGAGAGTTTAAGAAAAGTAAGGCCCCAAATCTTTAAGCTTTAAAACCTTTGTTTAAGAAAAGTAAAAGAACACCCACACCCAAACAGCTATGCTATTTTTCCAAAACTTCATGACTCCTATAGGTTTATTCAACCTAAATAACTTTGTTAAGATAAAACAAGATACCTGCTGGTAGTAGAGGTCTTCTTCCTCCCCAGCTTCAGCTGCTTCTTCCTCAACTTCTTCCTCTTCACGTATAGTTGTTTTAAAGACAGTGATTCTTTGAGCAACCTCCTGCAACAGAGTTTTATTTTTGTGACTTGACTCCCCTGAAGATATGGTGCTAATCTACTTAGATTTTGAGAAATAGGAGTTCCAGCTGTTGGGAAAGCTACTTGTACTGATTTTGTCCATATACTTTTCATGTACTGCTGTGCATGAACAGCATTCATAACACCTTAGTTTTAAATCTCTTAAAAACTAAAAAGTCTTTCTAACAAGACACTCATCAAGTTCTTCCAAAATTTGCTTTTTTTAAATTAGATATGTTCTTTCAATTGCAAGATGCCACAGTGACTGCCCTACCCAAAGTTTTAACTCCCACCTTACCAGAATTAATGCCTCATTGCTTAAAGTCAGTTTCACTGTAGCATTCCCCACCCCCATAAACACACAGTTCTAAGGAAAACTAATTTAAGAGACAAATCACTGAAGAGTTTACTAAAACCTTTTCTTTTCAAAGCATATTCTAAGGCACTGCCCAATTCCTGCCATGAGGGCAGTGTTGTGAAAAAGTCATTCTTATACTACTTGTATGCAATATAGGGAAAAAAATTTCACACACTTCAATAGACTGCATTCCTAAATTGCCGTTAAGACAGAGAGGGTACAGTATGCTTGGTTGGAAAGCAAAAGGAGAAAACTTTACACACATGAATGCAGATAAGCATTTAGTGAAGTCCTAACAGTGGTTCTACCTGCATCTTTATAGGGGATAGTACCACAAAAAGACAAATTTAAACACATCTGCAGTACTTTACCTCTCCCTGAGAATTTTTCAGTACAACTTTCACATCTTCACCAGTGCCCCAAGAATTCTGGTTCTTCCAGATGAGGTCAGTAGGAGGGCTAGCAGTTACTCCAGCATTTGCAGCCCAGATCTGTTAAAAAAGTCACACGTGAGCATTATTTGCTAGTCTTAACTCAATAAATAACATGGAAGTTAATGTATTCCATCTAAGTGACACTGGTGAACCTCCTCCAAGTTAAGAAAATACAAGTCTCTGCCTACCCACTTCCAAAGCTGCTTACAATAAAACACCCCTACATTTTTTAATGCAGACTTTTGAATATGTAAATGCAACTGTCTATTACCAAAATTATGGCTCCATGTAGAAAGTTCCTGAAAAATGTGGTTCTGTCCAACTTCTTCCCAGCAATTGATACAACTCATGCCTGATACAATTATGGGTGATTATTTTCCGAGCATGTACATAGAAAGGACAAAACTAAAAATCTTGTGTCCTACCGACACACACAAGTTAGCCTAAAGCCCATTTCAACTGAACAGCTGAAGCTCAACAACTTACTGTAACAGTTTGGCCTGCCTTTAGTATGTATCTTGAGGTATATCTGTAACTAGCAGAAGTGTCTCCTATTTTTCGGATCATTTCCCAACCTCCCATAGGTTGATCCTAATAAAAAAGAGGGAAAAAAAAATTTCCATCATCAGTCATTTTCTGTTACACATGTACTTTACATACAAGGCCATGAGGCACACAAAATTTTCAGCAAAAACATTTAGTATCACTTGTTCTTCAGATACAATTAGAATAATTTTAGTTAAACTTGTCTTACCCCTTATTTCAAGTTAAAGCTTAACACATCCTGATTTTCAGTTCTGATGTTATGTTAACTAGTGTTTATATTTTGCATCAGTTTTGTTATTGCTTGGTCCAGAAAAATAGGTATGTAAATGTTAAAATCCCCTTACAAATTTGTAATACATTTTTGAAGCACAGAATGACAAGTGGGCTTCTTAGAAAACAAAATATTCCTGTCAGTCGTCTTAAAATGTGTTTTTACATAGGCACACCTCCCACTACATACTCCTTTGCAAGACCTACCTTATTTCTCCTTTCAATTATTTTTTGCCTATGAACTACTTGAAAAGCAATAGCAAGTCTAACAAAGAAATATATGTAAGTCACCATTACAGAATGACCATTTCAAAACAAGAATAGATCTTTTATAAATTCTCCAATAGACAGTTCCCAAACATCGAACAGTTGCCACTGGAGTCTGAAAAAAAAGACAGTTAGGATAATCTAAACCAAACAGTCTTATTTATCTTAATGCATACTAGTGTTCAGCTGGTCATTCAACAAAACACATCATACTTAGACGTTTTTATCTATGTCCTATCTATTTTTATATATTTTCTATTTATTTTTATATAGAATTGTGAAGAATTACAAGAAACATTTGTGAAAATTCCCCAAGTACAGCTTATTACACTGCACTACAGAGAGTTGCTCATATAGACAGACCCCTGGCAAAGTGCTATAAACATGAGTCATCCATGGCTACTGGTAACAGATGGTCCTTCCATGGAACAATGAATATGTAGTTAAATTAAATAAAAGCAGGGGAAACCCAAGTGGTACACAAAGTATGGGGGGGGGAATCCCATAAGCTTGAAAAACTCAAAAAGGAAAAAAAAGTGGCATGTCCTGACTCACTAGAAGCAGTCTGAATTTAGTAATCTAAACACTTAGCTGTCTAGACCAAGACAGTTGTCAAGGTTTCTTCCATTCAGCAAATGAAGTCAGCACTCTCAGCCAACACCCCAGGCAGGTAATTAAGATACATATGTATAACCATCTGGAGGAGTCAGTCTGTCTCTTCATTGATTAGAGGGGATAGAGACACTTGGAACCATACCAATCTTTGTCATCTAGAACATCAAGATGAGCTGCCTTTTGGTGAAGGTCAAAGGATCTGATGACATCAGACAAAGCCTATGTGTCACTGAAAACAAAGAATGCAAATAGCACTTCTACACACAGCTGAAGGCACAGACAGCACGGGAGAAGGCAAGAATTACTTAGACCTCCTCCGAAATCAAGACTGCAAGAAATCAGGTCTTGTAATTCCAGTGTCCTAATGAAACAACACTTGATTCTCTCGTCTCCCAGACAAAAGATACAAGAAATTATAGTCCCCAGTCTCCAACCCTTCCTGTGATGGCTCACAGAACTGTATATAGCATAGGACGATTTGTTTTTCTTTTTCTAAAGCAGAAATTGTAAGTAATGTCAGGGGAGGGAAGGGGGCAGGGGGAAAATGTACTAGCAGTTAGCATCATTCTGAGGGCAAATAAGGAAAAGTTTTGATTATTACGCAAATGAAGTACCCTTTGATAAATAGGTAGGTGTGTTCCCCCCAGTACAAACTACAACCTATTCACAGAATGAAATAATCTGAGTAGCCATCATAAAGGTGGCTTTTGGCATGGGAACCGAGGGCTCCTAAAAACTGTGGATGCAACTAAGGAAGAAGGAAAAGTGATTTGGAGAAGCTATATGCAAGTACAAGGGGGACAAGCAATTGATTACATTTAGACATTTATTTTGCATCATTACGTATTTCTTTGGGGGCTTTTTAAGGGAGAGAAGGTTCTTCTGAAGTAGCCTAATGTCTGCTTGCACTATTTCCTATCAGTGACAGTGTCTGTAAAGCTTTACTGGCAGATCATTTGCAAGGCAGAAGTCTGAAGAGCGATGTAACACTTTGGAGGGTGGGCAACCTAGCAATAAAACAGTTACTATGAAAAGCATTAAAAAATCATTAGGAGAAGTCATCCTCTATCCAGAACACTGTATGAAAGCTTATTTTGTGACACACTAGTTTCTTAGTGCCACTTAATATATAGCATGCTTTAGCTCCGGGGTCAACATGAAGCCTGAGGGCTGAAAGGGTGCTGAGGATGCCTTCTTCCTTCCATCAGCCCATTGTAAAGTTGTGATATGAGTGCATTTTCAAACCTGTTCAGAGGTGTTCTTCAAGCGGATGAATTTTCCGTCAACATCTATCTCCTCAATAGAGACATTTCCAGTGGCAGAAGCTGAGTGGGAAATGCTAACACTACTGCTGGCTTCAGATTCCTCCACATCAATCCTCTTCCTCTTCCCTCTGGTTGTACGCACACTACGGCTCGATGAAGCCCGTGAAACTGTCACTCGGGAAGATGGGCTTGGAGAAAGTTTCAACCTATATTTAAGAAAGGAAGAAATATGTACACATCACACTTTGGCTTTCCTTTTTCCACCATTTTTATAAACTTTCTTCCTCTCTCCTCCTCTTCCCCTAGAATTATACAGCAAAAAAGGTACAGGAATATAGTAAACATAACATGTTATATGAAAAAGTGAAGACTTAGGTACTTTTTGAAGAACTGAAGAAAAGGTTGTCCAACAGCCGATTAATGCTTTTGGAGCACAGAATACTGATGGACTAGCACATTAAGATCATAAAGGCATCTCTATTAAAGACTGAATTCCTGGGTAGAAGCAAAAACTCTTGGGGGTGGGAGTGGTGGAATGACGACTTAAGCCATCGTAGAAAATTTATGTGAAAAAACAATGGCACAAGAGCTTTTGCTGTTTCATCCCTGCACTTGAGAGGAATCAGCCTGGACCAGTAGGATGTCATTCAGAAAACGGTGAAGTATAAAACTACTTCCACTGACAGCTGTGACTTATCAGGCCAAACTCTGGGGCCAGATGTGGAAAATACAGCTAGCTGTTAAGGTGGGCAAATCATAACAAATATTACTTCAATTAAGTTATTCTATACTTGAAGAAATTGTAACAGTTAAATAAACCTGTAATTAACTCTGAAAAACAGTATTAACCATGGCACCAAATATACCTACAAATGACAATGCATTAGGCCCTCAGTGCTGAATCTTAACAGAAGAATGGAATTTGTTCCCTTGAGAGCTATTGGTCTGATACCCAAGCAGCTTGGTCTCATGGAGACTTAGAATTAAGTGTGTCAGACAGGAGGGGGCAAAAACTAACAGTACCTTGGAAACAGTAGTAAAGCACCTAATGAATGCATTCCCAGTAAGAACTGCCTTTTAACAGAGAATAAGTCAAGTAAGGGAAGCACACAGATACCAGAATTTGTTGCTGCATTCTTTCATACCTCTCCTCTTCACCCTCCAGCAATTTCCGGTATGCATTGATTTCCATATCAAGTGCCAGTTTAACATCCAGAAGTTGTTCGTAGTCGTTCAGCTGCTCCTGCATCTGATTTCTGATCTCTGTCATTTCCTTCTCTTTCTCAGACAGTATTTTGCGGCAGTTTTCCCGTTCCTTGGCCAAGCTGTCCTCAAGCTCTTGCACTCTATCTTGCCATGCTCTAGACTAGAAAGCATTGAAAACGTCAGTGGTGCAAAGGAAAGCTCACCCAAACCTCCATACACTCTGCTATTCAGGCAACATGGAATTCAAAACATTCAGGTTAAGCATTCTCCCACCTTTCCAAATTCAAACTCATCCATATTCAACTTCCTGTTCTCCAGCTCATTTACTACAAACATAACAGCTTAAGTTCCAGTGAAACTTACAACAGGCTTTGAAAGGCAGCTACCTGCTCCATTTTTCCAAGACCCAAAGATATGTTACTACACCTTAATTCATTCAGTCAAGAAAAATTGAGCTTAAGAGTCAAACCACTTAAGACATGCCAGACAGAACACAGAATCAAAGTGCAGCTCAGTGTACTTCAGATCCTGTGGCAAGTAATTGCTTTTTAGCTTTCAGATGTCTACTTCCCACTGCAGCTTACTGCTGCTAGTTCTGAGCTCTGGGAGGAAGTTCCTCTAAAGGAATAGGGGTTGCTGTCAGTGAAACCCTGCCTGCCTGTTATCAAAGCCTTCAAGGCTTGCTGAAAGTATAATGGTAAGTGTTCCATGAAGAAAGCTAATTTGTCACATACTTTAAAAATCACATCAAGCCAGTAGAACTTAATATTGTACATAGAGAATGGAATGCACATCAAAGAAAGGCCAAATTATGACAGGATTAAGGTTTACTTTCCCAGAGCATGCTTTCTTCTGTTGGATAGTCTCTTGAGATTTTTTTTAATTAAAGGACAGATTCAGGAACCAACGCCCCACAATCACCTTGTCTGGTTAAGTCACCAAGTTCGCTATGCAAGCACTCTACTTAGGAAGTCCTCACAACCCAGAGACAATGAAAACAGGCAGTCTAAAAGGCTGATGCAGAGGACGAGTGTAACAGATTGTTGATGTTAAGAGTCAGATTTAATAAGAGGAGTTGAGTGTTTCATGGATGATCCCAGTGGAAACTACTACAGAGCTCAGTGTTGGTAACTCGAACCAGACCAGCATCAGCGCTAAGAGTTGTCTTCTTCCAAAACAATAAAGCTAAAGTTAGTGCTAGCAACTGGAAAACAAAATTCTATTGGTTGACTTCACTAGTACTACAAAAAAACCCATAAAACCAAAAACCACCCACATCAGCATAATGGGGTTTTCAGTGGACAATTAGAGTCAAACTGGCAGAAGCTGATTTTGGTAGCCCTGAAGTTATCAACCAACACCTCTGCAAATTCAGAAGCAAATTCTCTGAACCTGGCTATCACTCCCAAGTTAGCAATGGAACATAGGTAATTAACTAAAGAAAGAAGGAAAAACCTCAGAAACAGATGTTGTCTGAACGACCAAAAGAAAGACAATTGTAATCTAACGGTAGAAATAAGATTTAAGTAGACAAAACTCTAAATCCAATTCTTGTGCAACCTCATGCACATTCATTACAGCACCTGATCTTTTCCAGAGACTAACTTGTCTATAATAACACGAAAACTGGGAAGACTCATATTGGCATTTGCCAAATTACTTAGAAAATAGTAAAATAATGTCCCCTGAATTTAAATTCTGTGTATGTCAAGTGAAAATTATAAGTCCTACAAGAGTATACTGTACAGGAGGAATAAAATTCAAAGTGTATTGCAAAAAGGATCAAAGCCAAATATTACTAATATTTCCTATTTTTAAAAAAAAATGTTTTACTGCATTTTCAACTGATTAGTAAGTTACAAAAGCCCACTTCAGAACCAACTCCTAACATTTCCATTTTCACTCTAGATTTTCCACTACAGCATGCTACTCCTATCAAATAAGCAAGTACTAAACATACGGCTTGTCATTGGTTGTGTCATACTTTTTCAGGTGCCATCGATGTGCTCTCTGATCTGACTAAGTATAATTAGTTTCTGTTCAAGACCCTGCTCTACAAATGCTGAGCTACAGTTATTTTCCCAGTCTCATCCTAATCCTGGTAAGACCATTTTTTGTTTTTTGAAGAGTTCTAGATGCAAACTGGATCCAAGATGAAAAGAGACATCAGACAGAGACTGCATATTCCAGCTCTGGCTTTGAATGTTGCTTTGTGAAATCCTATGCTAGGCTGTACAACTACAACAGAATTAAATTGCAGAACCTCAAGAACTTTTAATACAGAGCTCTTGTGTAGAATTGTCACATCTATCCACAAAAGTTTCTGCAAAAGCCGGTTAACAGTACCACCTTTCAAATACTTTGTAGCAGGATACTGCACAAAAAGTTCAACTTTGTTGAAAGGAAATTTGAAAAAGTACAGAACAGTAGAACAGAAGACAAATATAAGTCATGATGCTAAACATACAAGTTAAGAGAAAGTCCTTTAATATAAAAATCAACAACTGTAATTAGCAAGACTGAAGAGTCACAAGCAGCTTGTTACCTCTTTCTGAAGGCTGGCAAGATGGGAAGACAGATTATCAATTCGTATGCGACTTTCATTCAGTTCTTCTCTTATTGAGTTGGCTGCAGAATTGCTCATCTCGGAGGACAGTCTAGCATTCTCAAGCTGCAGTAGATGAAGTTAAGACATCAGCTTCAAAGTAACTTTCATTAAAAGAGAAATGAGTCACTAAAAACCACACAACACTAAGCTGCAAAGTTCCTCTCTGCAGCTCTAACACAACGAAACATCTCTTTCTTTAGGGGTTAAATATGGTGGCTCAATTACCATGCTGGATTGCCCTGCTTGAAATCACAATCCTCCAAATAATTATTCTAGGATTAAACTTTAGAAAATTTCCCCTGTAGACATTACTGAAGTTGGACTGCTAAGTTCCATTTTCGTGCTGGCCAATGTTTAGCTTTATAGATTTAATTACTGTAGCACTGGTTTTGAGTATGCTTAAATAGAAGAAGCTCAACTGAAATTATCAATTCTCAAAAAACAAGCAAACTTATAAAGAAACAGTATACCTGAAAAGAAGGAAGGAAGCCTCAATTATGGAAGGTTTCTTTTAGATAAAAAAATACTGAAAAATATTTTTAGCTAGATCTTACTTTAAATAAGTTTTTTCCAAGTCGGATTAAAGCCCTGACGATAAGGAACCACATACCGTTAAGACTGTAAAGACTGAAAAGACTGAAAACTATGCTAATACATTCAGTTTGTATCAACTTCTCTGCTGTAACATCCCACCTTGTTTTTAAAAATACTAACTGCAAAAAGTATAGTCACAGAAACCAGGTTCAACTGAGACATCACGATCCCTCCTGACAGAAATGCTGAATCATAGCAGAGGAAGGAAATTATGAAGTCTAACTGATTTCAGCTTGAGTATGCTTCCCCTCTAGAAGCATGAAAAGCAGAAGTGATGGGTGTGGTAAAGCCTCCACATGTTTTGTACAGGGTCAGAGGACTCAAGATGCTCTCTTCTCAGCAAGCCCTATTATGAAATTTTTTTTTTTTTATACAAAATATGGGACCTTTTATTGATCATCAAGATTATGTTACAGGTGATGCACAGTACACATGAACTTTCCTTGAATTCATAGTAATCCTAGTACCAATCACTTTTCCCCCTGCAGTTCACCTTCACACAGTGCTTCTTACATTTTTGTACTTCCTGAAGATTAAACGTGTTCCCCAAATGAGACCTGAAAATGCAAATTCACATTCAAAAGCATGGTAATCTTAAACCAAGCTCCCTAATAAAATCCTCTGAAATGCAAGTGATTAGGCTACCTTTCCATTAAATAAAAATAAAGTAAATCATACAACTATATGAAAAGATGTTCTCACTTTAGCATGGTAAGTCTGTTCAAGCTCTTCTTTGTACAGCTTCACTTGTGCATCATGCTGCTCTCTTATTTCAAGAAGGGCTTGGGCCAGTTTATGTTCATATTCAGTCTGACGCCCAGAATCAACCTCAACTAAGCGAGTTTCATGTTTTCGTCTTGTTTCATTGATTTCCTAAGAAAAACAGAAAAATAAAACAACATTCATTAAATACAGGACAAAACAAGTTTTAGAAGACTATCCGCTGAGCAGACAGCAATGCAGATTTTAGCTAGCCTTGTGGGTCAGTATTAGATTAGTTTGTCTGACACTGAAACTTTCAGTAGAAATACAGGGCCATTTCCGCAGTGTGATCTGCATAGTACCTTATTTTGCAACAGCCAGGCATTGAAATAAAGAGCACGTAAAGTCACATTTCTTTCTGAGAGCTGTCTGCATTTTCAACAAATACAACTCAATACTATTAATTTTAGAAATATATCCTCCTTTTCTTTGAGTATCTTCTATGCTTGTACAAAACGAAAGTACTGCGAAATTAAACAGTCACTTTCACTAACCAGCATTTTCCCTATTTATTTGTATGCTTGTCCATGGTCTCTGGAAAAAAGGATTCCAACAACATGAACAAAGCTGAAAATACAACTAGTAAGGAAATGAGCACATGGAACAAAAGACAGTATATGCTTAGGTACATTTGTTACTGCTTTAAGTTTCCTCCTGGAAAGCCTCAAGTACTACAGGTAAAAGGGAAGGTGGCAAGAAAAAGCTCTATAAGACAAATGTTCATCAACTTCTGTTTCTATTATTCAAAAGCATCCTATTAGCAAGTTCTGAAATTAAAACTAGTATAAGTCCATAGCATGTTTGAGTGTCCCTCTGCACTTTATTTCTCATAAAGGGATTATGCAAGAAATGATTAACCTACTTTCTCATTACTGTTAAAAGACATGTACATTGCAATACCACAGGCAGAATTTATAACAGAGAACAACATGACACATGAAGATATTTTATCACAAGAGCTCCAAGTTAACATCCTTTCTTCAAGGAAAAGTTAGAAATCTGCCTGCTTGAATAGAGGTAACCCCTGCTCCAAGTGGGAGTTCAGACCAGATGCCTTCCTGAGGTCCCTCCCAACCTAAATTATTTTAATATTCTAGAATGATTCCCACAGTTGTCTTCTTCCCTTTAAAAATGTGAATTCTTGAGACTAAAGCAGTTACCTCCTCATACATGTTTTTACGGAACTCCAGGTCCTCAATGAGACTCTGACAACGGTTTTCAAGATCCACCTTCATTAAGGTTTCATTTGCAAGCTGTTCCTTGGCAGCAGCTAAAGTAACTTCAAGCTTTAATAAAAAGAAATAAAAGGATCAACACAACAATGATTATATAGCAGAACTCACATAACACAATTACCTCAGCTACCTAGAAGTACAACTAGCTACATGTTATGGTTGAACATCCCTAATGTCTCCCCCCACCCCCCTCTTGCATTGCTTGCACAAGTGAGTTCTAAGTATTTCACATTGGTAACTAGCATTAAAATACTACTTATCAATTTTCCTTACAAAACTTGAGTTTTTCTACATGGCAAATACCAGTTACCTGGTCTCCTCTACTCACCCACTTCAGGTTGTGTTGCTCAGGATCACAAATTATGTTTCAAAGTGTTAACAAAACTAGCACAAGACTTTTTTTTCCTCTTTGTTCTATCAGATGCCCAGAAGATTAAGAACCACAGGCAGAACCCAAAGGAGGGCAGACTCACCAACTGCTACCTGTCAGTTACTCATTATCTGTATTTGTGAAGTCATTCTCTCCCCCAAAACTGTTCTACAATGTCACGTTTATCTTGACTCTTTACCTGCTTTCTTCAAGTACCATACTTTGCAATTTCAGCCTGCAGTTCTGAAATCACTATTCCACCATTCACATTACTAATAACCTGAACAGAACTGGACACAAGACACCTATTCAGTACTGCCTCCAGTGTTGACAGCAAACCACAGTTTCTTGTAGTTGTGACTACATAACAGGTTTGCATCAATTTTTTGGCTAGAATGTTGCACTTTATCAGAATTACAGCTCTTAGTATGGAGGTATTATATATGAAAACACCTTTGCTGACAGAAGCTTGATGGTTAAACATTTTTTCTTCTCACCTGTACAATTTGATCTTTTAAATCCTCAGTTTCTCCCTCCAGACTTTTCTTATCACCAAGGGCTGTGGCCAGTGCAGCTTCTTTAGAATTGAGGGCTGCTTCAAACTCCCTAAGTTTGACTTGGGCTCCATTAAGATCAGATTCCTTTTTTGCATAGCTGGAATAAATCAGAGAAAGTAGTAAGAAAGTCTAGAAATGCCCCCAAAGTAGACTGCTGACTAATAAAACAAGGTGCAATCTGAATCTTAAACTTGAGAGACATCCAACAAAAAACATCTTGTCTTGGCTTAATTTACTAAAACTCCTTAGTTGTGCTTTCTCATCTGACGTAACAATAACTTAATATCTTGCTTGGAGAGTAGAAAACTAAATATAGGAGAAACTTATGAGTATCAAACAAGTCTGAGAGACACAGATGGAAAGGAGAAACTGCGTGTTTATTAAAGGCACCTTTTGCTCTCTCTTTAGCTAGCCACCATAAAATTGTCCCACCTTCACCAGAATCTTAATAGGAAGAAATAAGTTCTCCCATCAGAAGGCTCTTTCCATAAGGTAGAAAGAAGTAGATGATCTTCATTGCCTTTTATCCAAGCAGGAACTTGTTCAGATCCACTGTCTGGGCTGCAAATAGCCCGTTTCCAATTAACAGACCAGTATCTCAATGAAAACTGATGTTTGCTATCTATAAGCCAGTCCTCCAGAAGTGGAAGCTGCAGCATAGTGAACTGCTTTGCAGTACACAGTGGTAAAGTTCCACAGATCTGAGGAAAGATACCCAAGCCCTGCCTATACAATAGTCTGCCATCACTGAAACTGCACTGGTTCAGAGGTCCTGTGTCTCAGAGCTGTCTCTCTCTTTACAAAAGAAAACGCCCAAGCTTTTCAAGCTTTACCACTCAAATTAATTTTTGTGTATACACAAGCAATCAAACAGTTTCTAGGTGTTTATTCCCTAAAAAGGCACATGCAAAGAAGTCAAATGAGAAGAGTAAAGTAATCCCACATAAACACAAAACCACACTCTTCAGCCTAAATTAATTATTTACAAAAATTGCTGCAACACACTACCATCAAAAATAGGGGAAAAGAAAACCATACTCAGAAACCAAAATGACTGTTGACCTTTATGCACAGCTGTTTGTGCCATCTAGTGTGTAACACAAGTTCTTCCACCTTAAAATTGACTCTTTCTCTCTGGGATACATATATTTCTCCAGTAAGGGCAGTAGCATATAGAAGTTCTAGATATTTATAATCAAACCATAAACATTTTATGGGAATGGACAGATTCAGGTTCAATAAGACAACTGCAAGCACATTCTTCAGTTTTCACACTTCTCTTTGCAGGAGTAAAAAAAAAAAAAATCAGAATTCACAACACTGAACTGAGGAGACTGAAAATTGGATAAAGATTCTTAATAACAAGATTAAAAAGTGTTAAAGCATTAATATATTCACTGCTTTTTTAATCACTTTTTTCCTGCTTATAAGAAACAACAGCGATGCTTCTCAGCAAAACAAGACTAATGAAACATCAACACACAATTTTAAAAGGAGACACTCTCAAATTTAAAAGATGCTTTTCCAAGATTATGTGCAAGAATAAGCAGTTAACATCAAGCTTAAGAGAGGTGTGTGCACAAAGGCTTGCAAAAAAGCATCTGTAGGAATAAAATTAATGTCTGGATGTTTTAACACTGTAGCCACGAGATGGCAGGCTTTACGCAACAGACTTAGCCCTAGATAATCCTGCTCCTGTTGAGTAACACCCCGCTCGCCCAAGTGGTAGATTGCAAAGAGCCTACTCTTCTATACTCAACTATTTTTTTTCCCATTTCTGCTGCTCAACACTATCCAGTACCTCCATGGCATTTTACACACCACTTCTTAGACCCAACCATTCCGAGCAGTTGGGTCCACAGCTCAGACAAAAGCACAGAATTTGGGTTTTGGCTACATGGGCTCCTACTTCCAGCACTCTGCATTATTCACCGGAGGCCTCTGTCCCGTCCATCCCCTCCTATCCAGGCCTGTAGGAACTCCAGCACTCAAAGAAGCTGTACAGCAGAGGAGGAAAAAGGGAAGAAAAGGTGTCTTGCTATGGTACATCTGTAATAAAAATCTCACCAGCACCTATTGGGAAGTTTGAGGGCCCACATCAAGCCTTTCATTGTTTGATCACTGCTGGAGAAAGCTTTATTCAAAATACGAAGAAACTGTTTCATGCAGGCTCTCTCAAGACTTTATGCTGAAACCAAGCCTATCAAGTTGGATCCTGAAACTAGAAATGAGCACATACACAGAGCTGGCCCCCACTCTGCCCCTAGTTATCCTGGATTCCAAAACAGGAAGACTCCCCACATACCAGAAAGTTACTTCATTTTATAAAATACTTTAATGCAAATATCTCCGCCGATTACAAACTGGTAGGCAGTTAAGAAGAGAGCTCTTGCAACTGGGGCAGCAGATAAAAAGATGTATAAAAAAAGACTAGCAACAATGTGATTAAAACCCAATACACTCTTACACCACTAAATTAGGTATTACCAAGTTACATCAGCCCAAAGTACCTTCCTCACCTGTCTGCAACAAGATTGGCTGTGAAGCCATCCTATAATTTAATGCAAATGAAGTCACAGAAGGGGAAAAAAAAAAGAATTAAAGTACTATTAGTTACTATTAGTGTTATGAGTTGTCTAACTATGAGAGAGCTTATCCAAACACATTCTCAGAAGGAAAACAGAAACTGGAGCTCAACACTTCAAACACTGAAAGCCAGATGAAATCTCAGCACCTCAGCAGTGTCATCCCAACCCTAAAGGCATATGGGAAAGAAGTGAAACAAGGTCAGAAATGCCTCTGTGAATTATAAACACAAACACCAAATGTATACAACATACACTTCACCCTTACACCTAGTAATTCTTACCAGGAATAACTTCAGCCAGCTACCTTTTTTCTCTCTACAGAAAGCCAAAGTTACATCTCAGAACAGAAAATAAAACTCGTAGAATCGTTTAGGTTGGAAAAGACCTTTAAGATCATCAAGTCCAACCGTTAACCTAACCCTGCCATCCCACCACTAAACCATGGCCCTAAGCACCTCATCTGCCTGTCTTTTAAATACCTCCATGAATGGGGACTGGACCACTTCCCTGAGCAGCCCATTCCAGTGCTTGACAACCCTTTCTGTGAAGAAGTTTTTCCTAATATCCAATCTAAACCTCCTGGGTGCAACTTGAGGCCATTTCCTCTTGTTTATTGCCCGTTAACTCAAACACTTTCCTGTTGAAGTGTCCAGGAATTAGCCAGAACTGTACTACCTCAAGTAGTTTGGCTCATGAAAGAAAAAAAAAAGCAAAGAAAGAATTGCTGACTTGCATCTTCTTCAAAGCAGCATTGGTTTTCCTCTCTTTTGACTTCAAAGTATGTGGATCTTATCCATGGAATTGTAATTTATTTTAAAATAGGACAGAACTAGGATCTGCCTCACCCCGCCCCCTCCCCCCCCCCAAGTGCCAGTTCCTATGCATTTTGGCTGTACTTCAAGGAAAACTTGCACTTCAGAAATTCAACCCACAACATTTAACTCACATAGACACTACAGAGGGTAAAGAACTCTGTCTCACTCCTACCTAGCATTATCAGCACAGCTCCCACTAATGGAGCTGCAGCCACGTATACTTCAGAAACGGCTCAGCAAACACAACAAAACAATGCAATCTGTTCCCCAACACACTCCAACTACTCAAGCAGCCTGACAGCAGTAAGCGTTCCACAGTGGCACTCTCAGGAGTACAAATAACCCTGATAGCTGCAGCACACCCACCCAGCTCACCACTAAACAAGCTAATGTCTCAGAGCAGATGCAGTCTAGCTGAGGCAGAGATTTCCAAGCAGGTTAATTTGCTCACCATACCCCAAACCTAGTAACCTCTGAGGCAGAGTATATCAACTCACACACAACTATAAGGTACTGTGGTTAAGTTGTGTCTGTTTACCTGGACTAGCTCATTTAAAGCTAATTCAAAGCTCTCAAATACAAATACTAAGGGGCAATCACTGCTTTGGTGAGATTACCTGGACCACTTGGTTTGCAGTTCAGTAAAATGGCCAAGTCAGTGAATAGCTCACCAGAAGAGGCAGGCTCCCTTTTCACACTCTTGCATGATCACCCTTCTTTCCCTCAATCCCAAGGTTCACAAAATAACCTAGAACTTCCAGTAACCTCCTTAAGTTTCTCACTAAGTTAGTAGAAAAGCCATGCAGGAAAAGACAAAAATAATTTTCTACCAGTTTATTAAGTTGAATTGGCTTTCTGGAGCCAGACAAACCACACACCTAATGCAAGGTAAGCAGGAAGACTGCTCCTTTCAGTCAGAAGGTAGATCTCAGGTGTAATTTAAAGTTCTTTTGAAACTGTGCAGGATGCCACCACCCTACAGGTTTTTTTTCTCACCTCCCACACCCACCCACTCCTTTCTGCCAGTACTTGGAGAGTGAGATCACAAAGCTAAGCATTACTAACATTAACCGAACCCTTCTCAAAACCCCTTGGTTTTCAGCCAGTTCATGACATAGCTACACAAGTGCTGTCATTCTTTATAATGAAGACTGTATTTATATCCATATAAGATTATGTGGTACTGCACATCAAGCTGTTTTTCCACTCCAGTTGTAGAGAAATATGAAAATCAAAAAACAAACTATAGTAATTAATGCTTTGTTTAGCTAGCAGGCAGCTTTCCATGTTTTTTCCCCTATGGTAGACAAGACAGTAAGGCTATGTTCTGCAAGGAAGTGATTTACAGTAACATAAGAAACATCTGTCTAAAAGCATTCAAGTTTTTCTACATATATCAACATGACAATAAAAGTAATTGGATAAGGCTTGCCTTTCCTGTAAATAAATAGATGTAACTTGTAACCTGGTGTCAACTTGTCTCATGTCACTCATTTTATTTAACTAGAGACTGTTGCTAGGTGTTTGAAATACACACTAAACATACACCATCTCTAGCCTCTTACTGCTTAACAGTGACCCTTTTTCAAGAGCTCTGTCAACCACTCCAACCAGCAATCCAGGCAGAACTTTACATATGCAGTGCATGCATATCAAGTCACTGCCCATTACCACGTTATCATAGAATCATATCATAGAATCACAGAATACCAGGTTGGAAGGGATCTCAAGGATCATCTGGTCCAACCTTTCTAGGCAAGTACACCCCCATATGCGAGACCACCTTTAACCCTACAGCAAATTGTTCCTTGCATTGTTATGTCCTATGCTGCGTGGTAGACACTCTTAGATGACTTAAGTTATATTCTTACATTTGAATTGCTTAAATTATTGTGCAACAATTTAATCATGCCCCTCCTTACTTCCGAGTGCCCTCTCTACAGTACACATCAGAACAGTGATCCATTTCAGACTAAAACTCAGCAGTTCCCCAGGCACCAACCTTCACCTCACTTCCCAAGATCAGATACAACAATAAATATATGCTTTGAAAAGTTTCAAGTCAGCTTCCTCAAAACAGCTCCTCTAGCTCATTACAGCATACCAGTATGCAGCATGGGAAAACCTGGAACACCTGTTAGAACTTTGCTTGCGTTAATGGTTCTCCTGAGTAGTTGCTCAGGGTACCAGCTGCAGAGTGCACAGTAATTCAAGCCATAGGCTGATACCAAGCTATTACTGGTGTTTATTTTACTGCCTAATCCCACTGCAGAAATTCACTTCAGAATATAGATGAGAAGGAAGACCAATTGAAGATATAAAAAGTAAGAGACAGAAATAAGCTCTTAAAGACTAAAAATGCATAAAACTAGTTCCTTGCCACAATTATTTACTACAAATGCTTACACTCCATAAAACACTTCATGATGATCAATGACCATTATATCCTCTACCAATATCTTCAATAAACCACATAATTTCCTTCAAAGTTACTTTTACCACATTGTCTCCTCTTGCAGGAGAGCAGATGTACTTCAGCATTGGAACACTGCCACCATGAAATCTCAGCCTGCCAAAGACAAACGTAAACAAGGAGTTTCCTAAATGAGCCAGCATTACCACCAGCTCATGCTTCCTACACAGTGCGATTACTTCACATGACAGAGCAGAATACAGACACGTCCACCCAGGGATTTTGACCTGCTGTACACTTAAGTAAGTCCCCATAACGAACACTCACCTCACCAATGAAAATCTCTCCTGAAACTTGACCCATAAGCAGACCAAGTAACACAATAGTAACATTAAGCCTGACTTACTAAACTGCCCCTGTTCAACGTTACTAGGTAACACAGCTGTGTCAAAGTTAACAACATAAACCATGGTTATGTTAATTCTCAAGTTATACATCAGGATTTTTTCCTCCACCATCTTGGCTCTACAGTTCTCCCTGGTCTGCAGCTATTGCAAGTGATTAAAACATGACACACTTCCACACAAAAGCAGAAACTTAATCCGGTCTGTAAGACAGTGGAGTGATGGAGCAATTCAGAGCTCTACTCTTGTATCAACCGCTTAAATGATGACAGTATGAAATGCCCAAGGATCATGCCTTTCACTGATTTGCCTGCATTGTCTTTTTAACTCTTTTCTCAAGGAACACAAAATATGCAGTAATCTGAAGTCCCAGGCAAGGCCACACTGCTCTGTTATAGGAAGGGCACTCTTACCTAAAATTAATAGCTAGGAGTTTGGTGTTAATTGCATCATCACACACTTTGAGACTTTAGCTGAGACAGCAAGCAGCTACCTGGTTTCACCCTCATTATTCACGAGCAAGTCCAGTAGTAGGGAATCCGTTTGCACAGACATTTTTTCTGTGTAACATTAAAGCTTACATGCCCAGAAGGCCGTTAGTCCTCCATTCACAGACAGATTTCACTGGAGCCATAATTCCTCACCTCGCCACTGTCAATTTGAATCTAATGATAAACCGATACCCCTGTTTGAAAGGACTGTCTCCATCGTAGCCTCACTACCAGCCATGCCTATCCTGCTAAAAACAGTGATGAAGGCACACCGTACTCTTGTGAACCCCGGACGTTCTCCCGCACCACTCTCTCAGGTCAACAGCACCTGTACTACAGCATGGTGGGCAGGATCACAGCTGGTTTTCCAGGTTCTCAGTTCAGATCACTGTGCGGTCACGCCACACAGAAAGCGGGTGGTAATGGAAGCAAGAGCAAGGATCCTGAAATTCCAAAGACCAATTGGCAGCATGCGCTTAGGTTGCTGAAGTACTGCTCATGTCTTTCACAGCCTTTATGTGCAGAATCATGGCAATCACAGTTGAGCATACTATTTAAAGGAAGGAAGGAAATAGAGGGATGTCTCTACAACAGGCATCGCCAACTGAAAAATCATACAGTAAAGTCTTGCCTAATCAGGAAGGGAAAATGAACTGGAAATACTGTTAGATCAGTAAGTTCTCCCAATTCTTTCACAAATTAGAGAAGAGACGAGATCTCCCTCTTCTCCACCTCCTAAAAGTTACCCAAGAGTTCTACACAGCTAGACTCAAAAGTACATGGATTTATTTTCCACAATACTGGAATAAAATAAATGGATAAAGCATACAGAAGAATGTTGGACTAACCAGAGAAAGCAGAGTTGCACATGTGTCTGGGCAAGCAAGAATAACACCTGCCAAAATAGTCAAATAGCACAGGAAGGCCAGCTAGACCATGAATAATTTTGCCCAACTTCAGGCAATTAAGTAGTGAATCACCTATGCTCACTCCACAGACCCAAGACATCTTGAGAGCAATTTCTCCTACCATTTACCTCCATTGACTCTAAAAGGAACCAAATACCTAGCCACCGCTAATCTGACCCGTATGTGGCTACCAGTATACCTAAACCAAGCAAACAGTTTGCAGCTTACGGAACAACACAGTCCCAACTCAGCCCACTTCTCTCCATTGCTCTCAGTCACCTCCTATATGCAAGTCCTGGTACTTCTCTGCTGACAGAAAACTAGATCAGCAAAAGTGAGCATCTTTCTGCCATTTTAGTAATCCAAGTTAGCTGGCTGAACAACCAAGACAATGGCCAGAAGCGCAGGTAGGACGGTGATGGGAAGGTGTGGCACTGTTTGCCTCCACAGCAGCACGGTGCTAGACCGGCTCAGCTGTGCACCCACCAGCAACCTTTCCCAGCCAAGGGCAGAGGAGACAAATCTCACTCCAGCAATCAGAAGGAGTATTTTGCATAAAAGGGCAAGGCAAAGTTACTCTGCAAGAATCTAACAATAGCACCAAACATGCCAGAAAACTCCCTGTTTTTTTCAGGTAGCTCCATTAGCCAGATCTTAACTACTACAGCTACTCTACCCATTTTTAAACTAAAGTCAGTGCATATGCCACAGTGCACTCAGCTTTCTGAAAGGGCAAGGAAAATTCTGTTAAGAGAACACACATTCTCACCATACCTTGCAAACTGAGATATTTGCGACTACCAGCACACCCATACACTTGCAGAAAGTGTTTTAAGAGTATTTTTGTCAGATTTTAATATGTCTTAAGAGCTTTAAGAAAGAAGCCATCATGGAGTGCGCTCCAAAGGTTAAAAAAAAAACCAAAACAAAACACCACCACCAAAAAAATCCAAACTGCTCTTTTTTAAGACTGTGTAAATAGAATTGCAGGTAAGCTTAGAGATCCTCAAGATATCCATCTTAAAAATACTCAAAGACAACTTAAGAAACTGCATGCCATAGTAAAGTCTGTCACCAAACAATAACAAACGGCCACATACAAATTTATACAGAATCCAGTAGCCTTAAAGTGTTTGTTTTACTAAAGTATTCAGGAGTTCTTGTCATGAACTATAATCTGTACTCTGTGGTGCACAGAGATGATCTGTTTGAGATGGGTATTGACAGTATATCAAGCACCAAGATTTCACTCTTGGTAAGAGGTCATAGCTGCAGCACAAGAGCAATTCCCTGCCACTCCTCTCCCAGTCATCAGGTTTTTGCTAAGTATCATATCGCAGGAAGATGTAAATGAGAATACTATTAAGTGCCTTGATTACAGCCACAGAGAGGGAATCCACTATAGATTGCATCTTGAGCCCAATCTTCCACATGCACTCTTCTGGGAAGCTGACAGAAGACTATCTTCGTCCATAAAGCCATTAAGAGACGGAAATTCCTGGTTTGACTTTCAAGTCACGTCATTTTGGTGCCTATCTGTGGCTACACCTTGCTTTCCCCGTCACCGTCAATCTCTGATATAAGACCTTCATGGGGCACCAAGAAGTAACCACAAGAACAACCAGACTCACTACTTAGAAGCTCATAGTTTGTTTCGGGGTTTTAAATAACAAGTTAAGAGCCCCAAAGATACTGGAGCTGTATGCACCCACATGAAAACATCAATACGCTGGTTCACACATGAAATAGCTTTTTCATTTTGAAAAATCAGGGCTGAGTGTATTTAACTGAAAATCAAAATGAACAAGTTGTGCAACGGTAGAGCAAGTTAACAACTTTCCTTCCCCCCCCCCCCAACATCTACCCATTGACAAACTGTGATCCCAAAAGGTAAGTGGGCCTAAATAGCAAAAAAAATAAGATTTATGGCAAGCACACACAAGCACAAACAAACAGATGAATCAAGTCAAATGTGTAAGAAGCAAAACCTAGTGGCACAAATCAGTTAATTGCAAGAGCAAAGACCGTGGCGCTGTGCCACAGAGCTTGCAGTCTTGAGGATATCTGGTGACGAATCTACCTTTTGTAACAGCTTAATATCCAGCAGAATGAACAGAAACGAGTTATTTTTTGTTTGAAATAAACCCTACTTATTATCTACTCGAGTATTTTCGTATCATGAAGTCAACCTCTTTCGGAGAGGCCGTTTAGAAACAAACCCTCGACCCGCAACAGCCACCACGCAAACCGGCGGTTTTCGCCCCGAAGCAGCCCTACGGGCAGAGCCACCTGCCTGAACGGGGGGTAGCGAAGGGCCACCCCGACCCGAGCCCCGGCGCCCTCC